GGGATGCCCCTGATTAGTGATGGGACACCCAGATGACTTAAATCATTAAACAGGATTAGGCCCATTAACACAAGCCCAGTTACAAGATAAGTTAAACATAAGAATGGGCTAATAAGAACTCTTATCAGCCGAACATCACTCTAACATTCTAACACATTATACAATGTCCTCAAAAGAAAGTGGACCAAAATCTGTGCCTCTAAAATCAGGCATAATTACATAGATTAATCAGTTAGGGAAACACTGGATTGACTGCATGTTTGATCCACATATCAGCTATATCCCCACCTTGTATTGTTGGTTTTCAGAACAAACACTAGCTACTCAGTTTTAATTTTTTTAGCACGAATCTTACTTATAAAAATCGGCTTATTTTGCAAGCGTGGCTGTTTTGGAGCAAGTTTTTATCCAGGAATACAGGGTGGTGAATGGAACTTAGAGATTCCTTTCAAGATTCAAACAAGTCTTTTTTACCTGATTGATTGAGCTACTGCATCAAGGTATCCCTTATAATAACCAAGTCTTTTTTTGTCATCTAGCACTTCATGGAGTGGAGATGTTTCACTGTCTTCATCATCCATTCCTGTAAATTGAGACAATATAAATCTTCAGAAATATAAGAATTCCCATTCAAATAATACCTTCAGCTTTTATGCATAACCATGACTAGATTTTTCTAGTAACTCCTCTTCAGCTATTTAAATCATCATACAGTGATAAGAACCTATATTTGATGTAAAAAAAGAGCCAAAAAACCAAAGGAATAAACTTAGTCAAAGATCGTATTATGACAAGGGCAACTTAGTGGCTGAAAACATTAAACCTCTTTGATACCTACTCCTTTGATGACCTATGGAGGAGCTGGTTAGCAGTGGCTAATACTTCTACCAGGAAGAACAGACATGGTAGAATGGATGCCACCTGGGGAGGAGTTCATTAAGCTGAACTTTGAGGGAATAGCCAAAGTAACCCTGGACCTTCGGGCATAGGAGGAATACTGAGAAACAAAGACAGTAGCATTATATCTTTGTATTCAGGTCCTCAGGGTTTGGGAGACTCTTTAAGAGCTGAATTACTTGCTTCTGTACATGTAATCCAGCTTGCAAACCAGCTAGGAATAGAGCATTTGCTTATTGAAGAGGACTCCCAAGTGATCTGTGATCTGGGGCTATAGAGAGCTCCTTAAAAAGGTTAAATGGCTAAAAAGGAATATGACAATTAGAGTTCAGTGGGTAGGCAGATCAGAAAACTCAATGGCTGCCTCACTTGCAAAATAGGGGGTTTCTCGGGCTTCTTTATTTTGGGCTACTTTGTAATTTTATTTGAACTTATAATTCTGTGACCAATCTTAAAGGAAAGGTCACATCTCATGCCTTTCCCCGGGTTGCCTGTAACTCTCATTTGCTGGATTAATAAAATTTTACTCATTATCAAAAAAAAAGAAAACCTAGTCAAAGATGACCTCTGTACAAGATCAGCATAGTGAAAAATATAAACAGTATAAAAATGGACTCACCACTGGATAGTCTGGATAAATCTTTATTCTTGTTTAGCATTATGTGTCTTGTACAAAATTCAGATTGATGAAAAAATGCATAAATAGTGATAGAAAATGGCATAATCCACAAGAATTATGGAAAAAATACATCCTTGCATTTCCTTCAACTAAAAGGTTGTATGTGCTCACCATTCTCAGTAATATATATAGGGGTATTGCGGTATCTCTGAGATATGTAATTGAGAACTTTCCGGAAGCCCCAAGGAACTATGTAGAGCCACTCTGATGCCGCCTGATAGATAGAAAATCTGTCAATTAATTGAAAGAAGCTAAATAGGTTGTTCTGTTTGCTAATTTGTGTGTGTTAGAGAAGTTGATGATCCATACCCTTTCTCCAATTCTCTCTCCATTTGGCCATTCAACTGAGGATAACCAATGGCTAAATAACATGAGACACTCTTATATATACAAGTAAAAAGGGTAATGTTCTAAAGGCAGACAAACATTACCAATTCTTTCAATCTGTTGTACTTGATAGTAACCATTAACTTCAGGGCTCTTAGACACGTGAGCTATAAATCTTGATGTATAGTGATTAAGACCCAAAAAGTCAACTGAATTCTTCAACAATTCTTTATCTTCCTCTGAGAATTTTGGAATCTGATCTCCAAGTTTCTCACGCATAACTTCAGGATAGTCTCCATAGAATATTGGATCTAAGAACCTTCAACCAAGAAGGTGAAAAAAAAAAATTAGTAATGAGATTCCAGAAAACCATAGAACTCAGAATTCTAAGATCGAATGAGATTCCCCAAATGATAGAACCGTCCTCTCTAAATCATTAGAAGAGGTAATTGATTGACAACTAAGAAGAAAAAAACATTATAATTGATGGAAATCTGTTTTATTCCTTATTTATTTTTTTGCTTAGAAAAAAGAAATTTTTCATTAGTAAATGAAAAGGGAATATGATGATGAATAGCCCAAAACAAGGCTGGACAACACAGAAGCAACAAGAACCTAAGAACTATGCTGCTACCCATTTCTTCTTCTCTAACCTCGGTTCAATACCTTCATGGTATCAAAGCAACTAAATCTGCCCTAGATCATGCCTGTTTCTTCTTTCTTTCTTTCTCTCCTCTTCTCTTCATCTTTTGTTCTATTCTCTTTTTGTTTGCTATTTTTCTTGAAACCCTAGCTCTAGTCGTGGTTAACTAGGTTTCTCTTTTATCTCTAGGGTTCTGCTTTGTACCTAATCAAGCAAGAATAGCAGTAAGCCAGGAAGGCAAGTGAAGCCTCTTGTACTCCTCATGGGTGATAGAAACTAACTCCTTGTCCTTACCAACTCCTGAAGTAGGCACCTTCTAAGTAGAAACAACGTTACCAACATCATCCTTCACCACCACACACTTGGCCTAAGAACAAGGTGGGCCATGTAAATCATAGCAAAAGTTAACTATATGGCCTCCACATCCACAACGATAACACTGACGTATTTGACCACATCTGCTACCATTTTTTCCTTCCCTTCCACCTCCTCAACTACCTTTGAACCCTTGACCAACTCCTCTAGAAACACCTCTACCACCACTACCTCCTCTAGTAGTAGCCAATGCAAATCTTTCATAGATAGGAGCGTACTCACTATGTGAGGTGGATGCTCTCTAGAGATAGAACACTTTAGAAAGAGATTGAAGGTCACTATTGCCTAAAATTTGAGCCCTCACCAATTCAAATTCAGCATTCAACCTTGACAAGAATCTAGCAACATCCAAGTGTTTCCTCTGTTCCTGTTGTACTGTCAAGTCTATAGATAGGGTTGATAAACATTCAGTTTCTTCCTTAAATAATTTAAGGCTGCATAATATTCCTCTATACTTTTATCACCTTGTTGAAGCGAGAAATAGTCTTGATACAACTAGTAAATCCTTATAACATTGTCTTGCCCAAAGTACAGTTGTTTGTCATGTTTCCAGATCTCCTTAGTAGTGTCCAAAAACATAAGATTAACACTAATGTGGTTCTTCATACTATTCCATAGGGATGCCATAATTTGTGCATTCTCTTGCACCCACTCATTGTACCCTTCTGACACACTCCTAGGCTGATCTTCTTTAATATATTTTACCTCACCCCTTCCAATCAAGGATAGTTTAACTGAATTAGCCCATGGTACATAATTCGTACCATTAAGCTTCACTGTAGTCAACTGAGTGCTCATAAAGTTGAATTGTACTACAACTGTAGACTTAGCGTTATTGGTTCATGAAACCATATGTTTAAAACGAAATCAGGTTGTTATTCCAGCAATTGACAACAGTCACAGGAGGGTTCCTCTGGATGCTCGACACACTAACTTCTAGCACAAAGAGCACCAAAAAGAAGAAACGTTCACTCACTTACCTGACTCCCTAAACAACTTTGAGTACACATTAATTTGCTGTTGCTACTTCATTAAACTTCATTTATTCATCACATACTTGCAACCAACTATATAACCAATAGAAACATCACAAGTTTACAACCGTCTCTCTTCAAATTATCAAGTAGAGGGATCTCAGAAGAATGCCCTAAACTCACAAACTGCTGTAACCTGAGGCATAAAAGCCTCTTTCCATATACGGCGATCAGTCCTTTCTGGTCGTTTTCCCTCCTTGAAGATAGAAGAGGTCCTTTCACTTCTAGAGCAAACTAGATGTTAAAGTCTAACTAAATTAGTCTAAATCGATCACTCTGATACCATGTGATCTTTCAATGTAAACTAAAAAACAGCAAGGAAAAGGTGAAGAGAACAGTAGTTGGTCAAGAGAAGGAAAAAGAAAAGAAAAAGGGTTTACAATGGTGAAGAGCCAACATCCTTTCTCTTCACTATTGACCTGTGCTTATTTTATTTCTAATATGATAGAAAATTACATCTATACCCTTGATAAATAACTACATAACAACAAGACTAAACTGAGATGCAGAAATACTATAATACCCCTGCCTACTAGACTTTAACACCAGGTATGTATAAAGGCCATAGCTCAACCTGACTGGAGAGATGCTTTATTGTATGAGATGAGTGCCTTAATAAAAAACCATGTGACCCGAACTAAGAACAAGAGAGAGAGCAGATTTAGGGGTGTCAAGAATAGTCGAGCCTTGCCCCAAAGAGCCCCTTTTATATTAAAAGATATGTACAGTTACAAGAATGCCCTTATAGGGCTGAAAGATAAAAAGAACAAATAAAATAATAAGAACACTGTACAACAAGGGATATACTAATAATGTCCATCAAGATATATTTTCACACTCCCCCTCAAACTGATGCGTAGACATCAGAATCAGTTTGCCCATAAGAACAAGGTGTCGACTCTTAGTCATGGCCTTGGTGAAGATGTCGGCAATCTGCATGTGAAAGGCTACATGAGGAAGAGATATAGAGCCAACAATTAAAAGGTCTCTATTAAAGTGACAGTCCACCTCGATATGTTTAGTCCTCTCATGGAAGACAGGATTATATGCAATCTTGATAGCACTTGTGTTGTCAACATATAAAGGGATAGGAGTAGGAAGTTGAGTACCAAGATCCATGAAGAGAGACTTCAACCAAACAATCTCACTACAGGCAGAAGACATGGATCTATACTTAGCTTCAATAGAAGACTTAAAAGACAATTTGTTGTTTCTTACACTTCCAGGAGATGAGAGAGCCACCCATGAAGACGCACCACCCAGTAGTGGATCGGTGAGTGTCAGGACAACAAGCCCAATCTACATCAGCATAAACTCTCAAATGTATAGGTGATGAGGAAGAGAAAAACAATCCCTAAGAAGTTGTGTCTCTAACATAATGGATGATTCGGCAAACAACAGTCATATGAGGTTGACGAGGGGCAGAAACAAATTGACTTACGACCTGAACAACATGTGAAATATCAAGCCGAGTCATAGTGAGATAGATCAGAGAGCCAACAAGCTCACAATACAAAGTAGCATCAGGAAGAACTAGGCCTTCAAATTTAGACAACTTGACATTCAGCTCCAAAGGGGTATCAACATGTTTCTCATCAGTAATTCCAGCTAGTTTGACGAGATCAGTTAGGCATGTTTTTGCTAACAAATGAAATACCCTCGACTACTGCGATGGGCTTCCAAACCCAAGAAAGTAAGAGGGCCAGGTTCTTCATGTGCAAGGAGTTATGAAGTAAGGACTTCAACTCACAAATGCCATCATAATCATCCCCAGTTAAAAGAATGTCATCAACATACAACAGTAGAATACTAATACCCTAGGGCCTTCTCTTAACAAAGAGAGAGTATTCAGAGGAACTCTGGCTATACCCAGTTGCAACAACATCTCAAAAGCGCTCAAACCAAGCCCTGGGTGTTTGCTTTAGACCATATAGGGATTTATTTAGGCTACAAACACGTGAAGAATCACTACAATATCCAGTTGGAGGCTTCATGTAGACTGTCTCCTTCAGTTGACCATGAAGAAAAGCATTCTTCACGTCTAATTGGTAGATAGTCCAAGAATGAACAACAGATACGGCTAGAAGAACCCGAACCGTGGTGATCTTAGCAACTAGGGCAAAAGTTTCTTCATAATCAATCCCATATTCCTAACTGTATCCTTGGGCAACTAACCAAGCCTTATATCGATCAAGAGAACCACCTGATTTCAGTTTCATCATATAGACCCAACGACTTCCAACAATAGAAGCATCTGGAGGAGCAGACACAAGATCCCAAGTATCATTCTCATGGAGGACTTGAATTTTGGCATCCATGGCTTCTTTCCAATGAGGACTTCTAATGGCTTGCTGATAAGAACTAGGAATATCTGTGGAAGAAAGTATAGTAGAAAATGAGCTATGGCTTGAAGGAAAACCATAGCGATCAGGAGGTCAAGAAATACGAGTAGAACGATGAAGTGGAATAGAAGAACTACCATCTGAAATAGGAGGATCTTAGGGTGAAATGTCACAGGAGGTGCAGAAGGAGGATGCTCTAAACCAGGTGGAAGGAGGGTTGTAGGTGTAGGATCTGGGACACGTAACCGCTTGTGGGTGAAGACAAGAAAATCTCCCTCAGTAGAGGAAGTAGGAGTTTTATTTGAATCAAAGTCCTACAAAATAGAGATAGGAGCAGATAATCTAGCAATTCCAGCAAAGAAGGAAATATGTTCAAGAAGCACAACATTCCATGAAATCTGAATACAACGAATAGCAGTGTCATAACACAAGAATCCTTTGTGGTCAGGACTATATCCCACAAAGGCACACATAGCAAACCGAGTAGTTAATTTAGAACATTCACGAACAGGAAGATGTACAAAACAAAGACAACAAAAAACATGAAGACTAGAGAAATCTAGGGGATGACCAAAAAGTTTTTGGAAGGGAGAAGTGTTGCCAAGAACAAAAGAAGGAAGATAGTTAATCAAATACACAGTTGTACTAGCTGCTTCTACCCAAAATGAAGTTGGAGCATGGGATTCCTGTAGTAATGTCCGCACAAAACTGAGGATATGTCCATTCTTCCGTTCATCTACACCATTCTGTTGGGGAGTGTCTGGACAACTATGTTGAGATTGAATTCCATAACTCCTTAAGTAGGCATGAAAGCCTCCGTCTTTATATTCTCCCCCTGAATCTAAATGAAGGATACTCACATTACACTTGAAGCGAGTTTGCACCATAGTATGGAATAATTTAAATGTCACAAAGACCTCTGATT